CAACATTGTGTATATTCAAGGCTACTGAATTGTACACTTAAAGCTTATTCAGATTTCACCAGGTTGATGTGCTCTGTGGTTGTGATGTTGTTGTATGATAGCTGTACAAGCTGTTATCACTCGGGGAGGCTGGGTGAAGGGTGACAGAACATCCATGTACATGTCTTTGCAACTTTCTGTTATGTCATTATGAAAAAGTTAAAATTATGTCAAAATAAAAAGTTAACTTAGACACATAACACCAAGAACAAAATAAAAAGTTAACTTGGACACATAACACCAAGACTGCAGTCAGATTCCAAACTAACTGGAGGGCAAATTTAATACCATGTCCTGGTTTGCTAGGATCACTCATTCTCCTTGAGGAGAATTTTCTCTTCCTCCGGGGTGGCTCTCACGTGGCTCATGGTCAAAGAGAGGATGACGCACAGGCTGCTAACCTTCCTTTTTTTGGACGGCATACGCAATCTATCATCACATTCTTTCCAAGAAGGGAAATGAAAGACGTAGGCAAGACTCAGCTCTGTCCTTACCAAGATCCTGTTACAATCAGGAATCACTGATTCTAAAATAACAGCGAGCTCGAGTTTTTACCTTGATTCTCTCTTGGTTAAACCAAAATGAAACAAAATAAAACTTGGCAGGTACAGGTGGTTTTCAGGAAATCCTCAAGTAAAGATGCATCATTCAATGTCTGTTATCACTGAGAGTATGAAAACAAAATGACTTCAAATTGATGTTTGTTTATTCAATTAAATGCGGTTCCTTATGCTTTTGTTTCTGTAAGTAACCAATGAACAATGAATAGTTCTGCAGCTTAGCAAATGAGAGAAGGCACTGAACGTCTAAATAAATCAGAGAAGTCCAGTTTCTTCCACTGTATAGGAGCTAGAGACCTCAATGCTGGGACCAGAGCAAGAGCATTAAGGCAAAGTACAAAGCTGTTTCTAATTTTCCCAGGAGTAGGAGAAGTAGTTAAATGTTTGGACTGGAATGGGATATCCTACTAGATTGCATGCTATAGAAAAGGAAGAATTTATGGGAGTATGGCATATTAGAGGGCTCATAATTAAGCAGAGAAAGTCAATCTAATAAACTTGAAAGCAGATTTTGCCTGGATCAACCACATCAGTGGTTCTCAACCTTCTGGCCCTTTAAATACAGTTCCTCATGTTGTGACCCAACCAGAAAATTATTTTCGTTGCTACTTCATAACTGTAATGTTGCTACTGTTATGAATCATAATGTAAATATCTGATATGCAGGATGGTCTTAGGCGACCCCTGTGAAAGGGTCGTTTGACCGCCAAAGGGGTCTCGACCCACAGGTTGAGAACCGCTGAACCACATGAAGTTACACACACACACACACACACACACACACACACGCATAAATACACATACATACACGAGGAGAGAATCTGGTGTTCCACTCGGGTGGTGTACCTACAGATTCCTTCAGGATGATTTTTCTTGGTTACCACTCACACTGTGGTCTCACCTGTGGTAAGGGGAACCAAGCACCTGTTCGATGGGTGGATGAGTCTATGTGTGTGTCCCACTGGGTTACAGACTCTCCGTGGGTATTTTTTGGCTGGATAGTTAGAGCTGGCACCCAGGCTTTCCCTGAAGGCACCACACGGCTATTAGCAGGCCAGGCTTCCTTGCACACAAATCCCCTAGACCTGGGTCTAAGTACCGGCCATTGGCTTGTTTCTTCTTCCTTGATCACTTCTTTCCCATCAACCCACAAACTCACAATTGCCAGCAATCCCTTGAGACCAGTGGAGAGAGGAAGCCACACTTGGAAAGAAGATTGCTTTGTACTTTATTTACAATAGAAGGTAAGAAAAAGGAAGTTATTAACAATAATAAATAACTGGGGGGAAAACACAAAACAGCCATAAAATGACACAGAAGGATGGCATGTGTGAGGGTCACCTTTTGTTTGCTTTGCTTGTAGACTGTAACACTGTGCACTCCAAACCTTGGTCCTTCAGCAGTGGCAGTGGTATATCGACCCATTGAACGAATCAAGATCCCAGCTTGAAATGTAAACACTAAAAAATGACACTTGAAGCGACACAGAAGTGGCGTAGGCATAACAGCAACTCAAAGAACCTCTTCTTGGTGATACATAGGAACTGAAGGGGGACTTGCAATTCAATAGACATGCTTTCCCTTTTAGGCCACATCATCCTATAGCATTAACTTAACAACAAAATTACCATGAATCACATCTGAAAAGGTCTCCACATTCACATCCTCTTATTGCACTAACTCCTAAAAAGCTTAAACACTTACATTTCAAATGCAAACAGATCGTTCCGAAGGTAGAACACACAAGAACCCAGTGTTGCCTCCGCGTGCCAAGGCTGTGCGATTGCGTGACATTTCAGTCTCAGCAAGAACGAGTTGTTTGACCAGTTACAGCCACACAACATATATATTTTTTTTAATTTCAAGAATTAGGGCTCAAGATGGCAGATTGTTACCTAGCCTACTGAGTCAGATGATCAGAAAGGGACTAAAACTATTTAGACAATTCCTGTCTATTGGATTATCTAATTACATCTTATATCTGAATTATACTCTGGCCCTTCTGAAAAGTAAAATTCCTACTGACCTAAACCAGACAGTGACTTTGCTGTCTCTGAGCCCTGAAGAGCTACCAAGGAAAGTAGAATTTAAAAATGTACATACATACATTAGCCTTGCAATTTTCACAGGAAAATGATTTCTGGAGAAGTGTCAGGATCTATTCTCTAGGCCAGTATTACAGTGCCTTGAAAGAAAACCCTGTAATTACTTGTGGGGTCTTGGGTTTTTGTGCCTGCATTGTACAACCACGACTGCGCTTAGAGATTTATTCTCACACCCAAAACATGGCTACTACAAACCTCCAAATACATTAAAACCATTCTTCCCACACAGATGCAAAATTGTAAAAGAAGGGTTTATAAATTAGTTCACCAGCGAACACATATTGTGCCTGTTATAACGATGGTGAGTGAAAAATTTCATGGCTTCCTTAGTTTTACTATAGTTTTACTATAGCCCAAAAGTAGAAACATGAAATGGTGTTCAGAGCTAACTTCTGACAAAGTGCACGCGGGAAAAACACCAAGACCCTCTGATCCTGGGAAAGCAGTCAAAGCTACAAATGCTGTACCACACACAGCCCATGAAAAGCACAGGGGCGCCTGGTATTTGAAATGCACCCGAAGTAATGAAATGTACAGCCATTGCCATGGTTTTCACCAACATCAGAGATGAAGATGGTGTGCTGCGCATGTGCTATTCTGTGGATTACTTTAATTTGGCTACCAGAGACTTCAAACTGGTGGTGTTTGATTCACTATACTATATTTCTATATATGTACATACAGGTATAATACAATTTTGGTGAACAAAGTCGAAGGTTTCCACATTGCAGACAGAGGCACTGAGTTAAAGATTCTATTCCCCCCACCCCCAAACATGCTTAATTCAAGTTTCTGCCTTTTTCCTTCTTCTAAGTTTCCATCATGCAGCCATTGCATTTCCATCCTTATAGGAATTATTAAGGTTCTATGTACACATTCATTGCAGGCTTGTATCCCACAACAAACAAAGGCATGTATGGAGAATGTAAAATGACACTTGGAAATCAAGGCAGATAAAATGGTGAAGTCACGTATGCTCACGATGATGGGATTCAATATTCAAAGCAGCTGAAGGAATATATGCACCCCCCCTCCCCTTTTCTTAAATGCACACAAACCACATGTAGACAGAAAACTGAATGTATTTTAAGTGCACACACTTTTGATGGCTAAAACGCACACTATCTTTAGCAGTTTGTAACTGATGTCCGTGGTATTGTACTGGCTATGAGAGAAAGAAAACTCACAGGAGGAAATGAGAAATTACCTTTCTAAAGCAGATAGGATGGTTGACCTTGCTAGCAGAAGCTACTTTACGAACAGCAATGGTATGAGTGGAAAAACTAGGCATCAGATGTGTTAACAACATGCACAAAATAGATCGGTTCCATTAGAAAATGACCCCACCCCCACTTGTGACAAAGCTGATTTCAGCTCGTAAATAAATGGTAAGCAAACACACACACGATCGCTGCCTTGTGAAAATAGAATTTTGCTTTCTGAAGCCAAACATAATCCTTAAGGACTACTGTGTGGAAAGGGAGCCGTCGAAAAGTCCAAGGGGTTCGGTAAAAGATTAAGTTTTCCCACAAGCAAAAAATCATGCTACCATACCATGCAAAGATGTCTTACTACAATGCTATCTCGCTCTTAGGGAAGAGATGCATGTTGACCTAAGCTATTTGTAACTGGTTTCCCTTGAGTTCTGGGTTTAAAAATTTTTTTTTCAAGCTAAATATCAACCTGTAGATAGAGATATGATCTTGACAGTCTGACATATAACTTATGCTTACTTGATGCTGGGCTCAGGGGCCAGCGCCTGCACCTGGAAGTTTGTCAACTTGAAAGACACAATGCAGAGTGCCGAGCACTTAGAGAGAGAAGCAGGCCGGGTCCACTGGCTGAGGCCAGGAGAGAGGAGGAGGCTATGCTCCCTGGTCTGTATGTTTCCTTTGGAATCTGTGTGGGAAGGTCCCTTTCCTGAGGTTGGAGGTTATGGAGAGGAAGGCTAGCTGGGGGCTTGTTGTTGCCCAGTTACTTTGCTCTTTTCCTCTCCTGGAGGACAAAAGTGAATATAGATACTGCTTGCCCTTCCTTCTGCGTTTAAAGGCAGTGAGGTGCGAAGGTGGCAGGTTTTTCCTTTTCAGATCAAAGGGGAGTTCTCTTTCTGCCACTTTGGTGAATGAGCTTGCCTCCCGTCAACCTTGAATCTAATCTTGCATTAGCAATACTTTCAGAAAAGAAAGCTAGACGGAAGGACATGTATCTCTCCTCCTTTTTGCTTTACAAATAGGAGTCAACAATTCTGCTCATTCTCTCCTCCCACTTGACAGTATTTACTCAACTTCTGGGACATCCCAATATTTGGATTTCAAGTAAGGAGCAAGAGAATGACAGTCTTTTCTAAGGTCCCGTGACGGGCCATCGGGTCCAGGAAGTCTGGATGTTATTAAAAATAAAACCAGGGGAGTGTGGAGGGGGCGGGGAAGAGAAAAAAATAAAAAATAAAAGTAAAACCAGGAGGGAGATGAAAAACAATTCTCTTTTTTAGGGTTTCCCGAACCAGATATTCCAACAGAGTGAAAGTCCAGTTAGCTTACTCTACCCTTGAACTTTTTGAGTGAGTAAGTAGTCAATAAATTCTGCTTAATTAATTGCAAATTCTGAGAATCTTCATGGATGATAGAAGCTGACAAGTTAAGGTTTGTTGGTACCTGTAGAGAAAAAAGATGTTTGTCTCACCTGGACCTCTTGGTTCCTAACTCAACCCTTCCAAAATCTGTCAAGTTAAGGTCACATTCACCCATTTAATTCTCAAGATTTCTGAGGGCACATAGGGGAAAAGTTATTAAAAGACAGAAGCAAGTGGAATCTTTATTAAATTCTGTGAAAGGTATAAATAAGTTATCATTAATTGCACGTGGAGCCTCTGTGGGTTGATAATTAAAATTTTCAAAAAATTTAAAGTGTTAATTAGGCCCCAAATCCTGAGTCAGACTAACCAAAATAGGAATTTTAGTAACTACTGGTATTCAAGTATTGGCGATGAGCAGTTCAAAATTTAACAATTAGGTATGTTCCGCCTGAGAGTATTTTTGAGAATTTCAGGTTTAACCAGAGGAAACTGACTTCACTATTTTATCACACCTTGTACCACAGTGGTGCAAAGTTTTCATTTATTTACCCTTGAAGCCCATGCCAACCGCAGCAAATGCCCAATAACAAGGCTTCCTCCCAGGCTTCCAGCTGTGGCTACAGGAGATGCCTTCTGTCTTTTGCATGTCTTACATGTTGCATCTAATATGATGCTGTGTGGCATATTTGGGGACTCATATTATATGTGAAATTACTTAACCACATGCACACTCAGATCGAAGGAACATGTTTTGAGTGACAAAGCAGTCTTTTTCTATATTAGAAGATTCTTAAAAAACAAAACAAAACAAGAAAACCAACCCTGAAAATGAAAATATAAAACCCCATGAAATATTCATATGAAGTTATTCTGATTTGGGCCGGCATGGCCTGTCTGAAGAGGGTACGCCAGGTAAATTCAGGGTGGTATTTTTCTCGGGGTCTGGAAGCGTGAGAGTTTCTGGGGCAGACTTTTTCCGGGGCCGATCTTTGGGCACAGACAGAAACTCAGGTGCGTCTGAGGACAGAGGTGTGGACGGCGCGCTGGAAGGGGCACTGCGGACTGAAGAAGGCAGCAGGGGAATGCTCGAGATAGAAATCACAGGTGGGAAAACTCCAATTTTCTGGTTGGTGGCTTCCTGAGTGGCTCGTTCAAATTCTCGGACTTCATCCATTGTCATGTCTTCAAAGAAAAGAAAAAGATAGAAAGTTATTTAGAAGACATGCAAATGGATTCATCTCTACGCCTGTTTTTAAAGGACCTATGGAACCCTATGAAAAAGGGGCCTCTCCTGATTATAAACCCAAATTATCACTAAAATGTTAAACCCTGAATTTTTCCTTTTTACAGAGGCAAACCTCTGAAATAATATTCCTTTTAGAATACCCATCTCTAAGACTTCCCAAGCACTCTTCAGTGAGTGTTTTATCTATTCTCAATTAGAAAACATCAGGAGTGCCCAGCCGGTGTGGCTCAGTGGTTGAGCGTTGACCTATGAAATAGGAGGTCATGGTTTGATTCCTGGTCAGGGCACATGCCTGGGTTGTGGGCTCCGTCCCCAGTAGGGGGTGTGCAGGAGGCAGCTGATCAATGATTCTCTCTCATCATTGATGTTTCTCTCTCTCTTCCTCTCTGAAATCAATACATATCCTATATAATAAAAGGCTAATATGCAAATCGACTGAACGGTCACTATGATGTGCAGTGACCACCAGGGGGCAGATGCTTAATGCAGGAGCTGCCCCTTGGTGGTGAGTGTGCTTCCACAGGGGGAGCGCCACTCAGCCAGAAGCCTGGTTCATGGCTGGCGAGCAGAGTGGCCGCGGTGGGAGCCTCTCCCGCCTCCGTGACAGCGCTAAGGATGTCTGACAGACAGCTTAGTTGGACATCCCCAGAGGGCTCCAAGACTGCAAGAGGGTGCAGGCCGGGCTAAGGGACCCCCTCAAGTGCACGAATTTCGTGCACTGGGCCTCTAGTATATATATAAAAGAAAACATCAGGAGTACAGAATCAGACCGGAGCAGTGAGTGTGTGTGTGTGTGTTGTGGGTATGACTATTATCAGACCTGGCCATCTTTTCTATAAAGAGAAGGTAACTAAAACAATCAATGGCCCCAAAATTGCATATAGTGTGTGGAAAAGGTAGGTTTACAGTTGTGAGTACATGAAACAGTTTATTCTTGTATTATTATTTATTCATTTTTGTATTGTTCTGTATGAACTGTAAACCTACATTTGCCCGATCCTGATATATGTGTCACATAATAACACATGAGCAAATCAGAAATATTTTTCTTTATATATATATATATATATATATATATTTAAATATATTTTTATTGATTTTTTTACAGAGAGGAAGGGAGAGGGATAGAGAGTTAGAAACATCAATGAGAGAGAAACATCGATCAGCTGCCTCCTGCACACCTCCCACTGGGGACATGCCCACAACCAAGGTTCATGCCCTTGACCGGAATCGAACCTGGGACCCTTCAGTCCGCAAGCCGACGCTCTATCCACTGAGCCAAACTGGTTACGGCAGAAATATTTTTCAAAAAACAAAATCCTTAAGCAGATTTCCTGGAAACAATCACTAAATTTTCTGAAAGGGAATGTTTTGTTTACAAAGGAAATAAAAAATTATGGCTGTGTTGATATAAAACTCAGAAGAGAACAAGAAAAATCATACTTGTAAACCTACCACTTAAAAAAGACCACTAAGCCTATTAAGCTAAGAAAAGAGATTATGTCTTTTTAAAAAGAGGTACTGCAAAATAAAATTGAGATTCTCAGGAAAATGTCACTGAATTGGGGTCTGTTTCTTCTCTAATAAATGGATATCATCTCGGAGAAATCGGGCTTTGTGAAAAAGCAGCTGAGCACAGTGTCCTACTCCATGCATCCAGCAGAGAGCAGAAGTCACCCAGAGGAGACAGAATTTTGATTTTACAGTCCCTTCCGGAGTCTCTCAGAAGTTCCCTTCCTTGAAGGCACTGAAACTGCTCAATTGAAAAGGAGACAATTTCCTTATTGTCCTGGTCATGGATGTTAATTTTGCATAATTTCAATCTAATTTGTTTCTACTCGGGTTGATGATTTAAGTTTTATTGGGCACTCATGCAGTTTTTATTTGTGGTGGACAGCAGCCTCTTGATTTCAACTGTTTTTCATTATGCTGGAGAAGAGAGACAATGGAAAAATAATCTCCAATTTGAAGGAATGCCACAGAATACGGGAAATGTCGCCAGCATTCAAAATAACCACACTGTGTAACTTTGGAAGAGATACTAGTAGGCATATCTCTTGCTGACGTCATGGGAACGCCTGTGAGTTGCAGTCAGAGAAGCCGTGCACGGGTTTCGCCTGGGGAGAACCATTCTAGGCACCACCGTCTACGTGGTAAACTGACCTAACACCAGTAATTGCAGTAAAACGGAAAGAAAACCAAGCACAGAGCTGAAGCTGGAAGCCGTAAGAACTCAGAAGGAGACCAGCTTTGTGCTTTGAATCTCTGAGACGTGTGGCGTCTCTCCCAGTCCTCTGGCTTCCTTTGTCTGGTCATCCTGACAGTGAGCAGCTTTCAGAGAGCGGCTGAGGGGGAACTGGTGTCTAACATTCCTAAAAGAAAAGGTAATTGAGAGTGATGAAAATTCAAGGACAGGTTCCTGAAGGAGCATTTCTAACTTTAGAACCGGGAGAGAGGAAGACAGAGGTCCTATCCGAACTGATCTGTGCAGCGAGGATCACCTGGGCTAACTGGTGAGAAGGGTTTTCCGCGAATCCAATCACCGCGTGCAAAATGGGGAGGAAGCGGTAGGGCCATTTCAACCTGGAGGGCAGTCACGTGGATCCAACAGCGGCCTTGCAGGGCACATTCCAAAGACATGCTCTAAAAACTCAACTAAAGATTTCCAAAGTGCAACCGAAGGTCTTCACAATTCCAAAGCATCCATTTACAATAGCCATCTCTCAATCTCCTACAACTACAGCATCATCAGTTTCTTAAAAATCTAATTAATGTGTTACTCTGGGGCATGTGAGCTCAAGCTGCCAACCAGAGATCCCAGCTCTGGCCAAAGGCACATACCAGTGACTCAGAGGTTCCATTTTCCTTTGTCATCTGTAGCTCCTCTTCATTAGCATGAATACAACTAGAATATGTAAAATGCTGGCAGACACCTTACAGTCAACGCTCAGTTTCCCACGTGCCTGGGAATAACCTGAGGCTCCCTGGGGCTTATCTGACGCCCCTGGCTAGATCTGGCAGAGTCCCCACTCACCACACCGTCACTGCCCTGCCAGGTGCATGAAGGGACCACAGACCCACCTGGACATTCACCTAGCAAAGATGAACCGAATGGGTAAAACGGCTATAAAAGGCCATAGAAAGCATTTCAGAGCAAATGTAAGGAAACCTAAAAGACCAGATGGGTTAGAAGCCTTCCCTTGAATGAGTAACTGTTACCTATGTTTTCAAAAGTTCTGGTTTTCATACGACCCCTGTTTTTACCCCTCTATTCTCTTCTGGTGCAGGCCAGGCCTTCACTAGTCCCACAAAATGTTTCCACTCTCCGTGTTCTTGGCTTTATGACTGAAACACCTGCACGTCAAGCGGCTTTAAAGATTCAAAATGTCTACAAGTGAGAGGTTCTTTCCCAACAGCCCCTGGGCGACGACGCTCTGGGTGGGAGCCTGAGAACTGAGCGCTGGCAGCATTTCACAGATCAGCTGATCTGCACGTTTGGTAAAGGGAGGGGGCAACATGTTTTAAAAATTCTACATACACTTGTTTGGGCCTGGCTCTCTATGTCATCCACAGTGGAGGAATGCTGATTGCAAACTTTTATGTTGGTTTGTTCATGCATGTTTTTCTCGTATTCTCGAACATCGTCCATTGTCATATCTGAAAGAAGGTCAAGACGTTGGCAACTTCCGTTATTAAATGCACACTTTCAATGGGGAGACTTTAGGGGAAAGATGGTAGCTTAGCAGAAGCCAAAGAGAGGTTTAAAAAGCAGGGGATTCACTAACTTTATGGAAAGCAAATCATAAAGTTAGCTAAACCAGCCAGAGGGGCAGTGAGTACAAGGAAGGGAACTCAAAGTAGTCGTAGAAAGGGAAGAGTGGACATTTTTTAGGGGTGACTCCTGTAGAGTGAGCTAAGTGGGTGGAGTAGGAGCGCGTGGGCAGTGCCATAGCCTGAGATCTCCTAAAGCAGAGTTAGAAGATCCCTTCAGGGATGTGCTCAGCTGTGTTTGCCTTAAAACTTACCTTCCATAGACCTTTCCAAAGAGGTTCTGTAAATCAGTGCATTCGACAAGAGAAAGGACACTTTCATTGCTATTGTAGGAGACATGACGTAGAAGGCACGGAACGATGTTCATGGGTGTAAGTGAGATTGGGTGCAGTGCTCACACACAGGTGAGCTTCTGCACAGAACGCGTGGTGTCAGAGTGCAGGTCTACACTGACTCCAAGTCTAGCCTAACAGCTTGAAGGTGGCTGGCACTACTTACACCCACACTCATCTATAAATACAACGGCACATGACATTATGATTTTTGGCCCGCGTCTGCAGGCTTTCAGGATTCAGGATAATGATCTGTTAAAATAGTGGTTCTCAGCGGGGGGCAATTTTGTGACATTCTTGATTGTCACAATTGGGATGCCACCCTTCCTCCAACAAAGAATTAACTACCTGGTCCAACTGTCAGGGGTGCTGAGGTTGAGAAACACTGTCCTAACCCAACTGATAAAAAACGTAAACACGGAACCTGTCCAGTTTCAGTATGTGAAGTCCAAAAACATAACCATCAGACTCACTTTAAATATTTTTGTTGTTGTACCCCCCACGCTCACCTTGCTCCTTTGGCTATTTTACTACAATTTATCAACACCTGTCCCAGATGGGCATTCTGTTGCTCTCATGGCAGAATTTAACTTCACGCCTCTTTACAATAAAGGTATGCTGAGCAATCGTTAATCGACCACCCACCCTGGTCACTAATTAACTTGGAGGCTTAGAGCTGGTATTCACAGCTGGAATGGTTCCTTACGTGTTTTCTGCAGCATGTGGTTTGCTGTCTTTTTATATCAATCCATGTGTGTCATGTGAGATTCTCTTTATTTCCAAAAGGCAGACTTGTCAGAAGTTTCTGATTTAACTCAGTATTGTCTGAGGCCAGGGTAGAGGGCGGCTCTAAACCCAGACCTGGGCTATGTTATTTAGTGGATGGTCCCCCTCACATCCCCAAACCGTCAGTCAAGAACGCTGCCCATAGCAATGTAAGTATCAAGAAAGCTAAGCAGAATCTGGCCAAGCGAAGAGCATGCTTTTGTTTTAGAAAATTGAGGTAACTGGAAGCAATAAAGAGATGCTGCTTTGTGATTAGAACAAATGCACCTTAGTTAACAATAATAACACATCCTGTCAATACAATCACTTTCATTTCAATGGCTGGTTATCAAAATTTCTTAAACACAAATATACCTGGAATGAATACTGAGGCGATTCTAAGCTCTAAGTTTAAAACTTAAAGATATTTCTTCTCTCCCCTTCACAAAGGCTTTTTAGCTTCTCTGTTCTAGTGAGTTCCAACACAAATCATTCTTTATCTTTAATTAGCTCAATGTTAAGAGAGGGGCTTACACTGTGTGACTATGTGCTTTCAAAGATATATCAATTTAATGGATGTGATGCAGAATTTAATAACAAAGATACTCTCATTACTGCCTTGTTCATAATAGTAAAAAATTGAAAACAACCCAGGGGGCCGACAATACTGTGCAAACACAAGTAATGTAGAAGGATATTTAACAGCACAGAGAAATGTCCTGGGTATATTGTTAAATAAGAAACAGGAGGTAAAAACTTAGCCATATTCTGTGAAATCTTTTTTTGCCAGAAAAGCATTATATACATTTTAAAAAGACAAAGTATACATTTCAAAATGTAAGCCGTGATTGTTTCAAGGTGTTAGAATGACAGCTAATGATCATTTTCTTCTTTTTGCTTATTTATATTCTCCACATTTTTTACCTCAAATATGCAGTATTTGTGTGAGAATGAAAAAAAGAACACCATTTAACAATCTATTATTTGTGGTCATTAGAAGAGGGTTACCATCAATCTGGAATTGGTAAGGAGATACACTTTTCTAGAATGGTGCCCTTTCTAGAAACAGGACATCCCCCTCCCCTTTTTTAAGATTAAGAGTTAAGAAACATCCCTAACCGGTTTGGCTCAGTGGATAGAGCGTCGGCCTGCGGACTCAAGGGTCCCAGGTTCGATTCCGGTCAAGGGCATGTACCTTGGTTGTGGGTGCATCCCCAGTAGGGGGTGTGCAGGAGGCAGCTGATTGATGTTTCTCTCTCATTGATGTCTCTGACTCACTATTCTTCTCCCTTCCTCTCTGTAAAAAAATCAATAAAAAAAATATATAAAAAAAGTTAAGAAACAAAATTTCAGGAAGTTTTGTCTAAAAGAAAAGCAACAACAACACACCTCCCAATCAGACCACATAAGGGTGAACATTTCTCGCCCCGGACGGTGTGGCTGTTAGCTGAGCGTCGTACTGTGCACAGGTTGCGGTTTGATTCTCGGTCAGGATGCCCAGGTTGTGGGCTCCATCCCCAGGCAGGGGTGTGCAAGGGGCAGCCAATCGATGTTTCACTGTCACATGGATGTTTCTTTCTCTCCCTCTCCCTCTCCCTCCCTCTCTAAAAATCGATTAAAAAATTTTTTTTTTTTTAAAAAGAGTGTGAACATTTCTAACGAAGTGATTCTCCGAAAGATGATGATAATTTGGTCCCTGCTGATGCGGAAAGTGAAATATGTTTGCCTGAATCCTGAACTACTCCCACATACTATACATGCTTATGGAAATGGAGTAAACATTTTCCGTATTCTTAGCAATTTATGGAAAGCTTACTCAAGTGAAAACTGTACGTTCCTGTTCAGATGATCTGGTAAAATGTATTATGTCTTGCTTCTGCAAAGTATATTACCTTGCAATCTATATGTGAATCAATTTTCTAGTAAATCCAATTATAGGTGCCCAAGGCTAGATTATCCTTCCAGAGCTGCTTCATCTTCATTACTGATCGATTTTTAATCATCAGTGACGTCTAACCGTTTAGGTTCGGATCTCTTTGTTTCCAGCAAGCAAGCAAACGCTTATGTGTGTCAGGACAACTCTTAATTAAAAGAAGCCTATGTTCATTATTTTGCAAGTAAACTGAAAAATAATCACCCCTTAATTTATAACTTTAGAAGGTCATAATTTACTTCTCTTAAATAAGGTTTCTTAAATAATAGTCCAATTTAGAAGAATATTGGAAGTAGCACAGTATTTCTTCTAAGAAAGGTCCGTCCGATATCTTTGACCCTCGGCTGTCAGAGGTTGACGGGCAGAAGCGGCACTTGGGAAGTGGTTCTGGGGTATAAATGCCCTTCATTGCATTTCGGTGGAGCAAGATTTCTTTTCTCTGTCCTCTTGCGAGGCCATTTCTTTCCTTCTCTTCCTCACCCTCCTTCAGGGGAGGGCAGAGCAGGTAGCCCGGGTGAAACCTCCTCCTCTACCATCAGCCCAGCTTCCAGAGAGAAGTACAGGGCCCAGGGGATTTGTTAATTGGTGAATCTTCTTTGATTTCCTAAACCATGAACTGAAGGCTCTCATTAAAGAGCAAAATCTACCTCAACTTTATGAATCTAGGCCCACTTCACCCATTTCCTACTTAAAACAAAAACAGGTTCTAATGATTATTTAATGAATCACTCAAGTAATGCATGAATTATGTTTCAAGGAAATAATTCCGGTAGTATTGGATTATGTAGAGAAAAGAGCTTAACTCCTTTTAACCTCCCCCACAAAGACTATTCCTTTTGGAAATACCCACTGTTAAGAGTTTGAGGCACAGATTGCCAGATTTAAAAATAAACAAATTTACATGTATGTTAACCTGCATACTCTCATTTATTTTTACAAGTATGGAATGATACCATCCTAAACTATGCTATACATATTGCTCTGGCTTGCTTTTTCCAATAATGGGAAATGTACATATTTCCATACCAGTACATAAGAACTACCTTATTCTTTTTAACTGTTACACATAATATTCATAGTATGGGTGTATCATAATTTACTTGACCATATTCCTGTTAATGGACCAAGTCTAATTTTTAGCTTTTATAAACAACATGACACTGAATAGCTTTGTACCTATATTCATGAGCACATGTGTAGTATTCCTTAAGAATAAATTTCTAGAAGTGGAATTGCTGGGTCACAGGCTATTTGTACTTATCATTTTCATAAAAACTGTTAATTTGTTCTCCCACCTATCCAAAACTAAATATTGTCACTCTCTTAAATTTCTGCTATCAGATGGGCAAATGTGGTATCTTCCTGTTGTTTTCATTAATTTTTTTTTTAACAGTAGTGAGGTTATTGGCCTTTGCCTTTCTTTTTCTACTATTTACCTGCTCGTGTACTTTACCTTTTTTTTTATTGATTAAAGTATTACAAATGTGTCTTTAACCCGCTCATTGTCCCTACTTTACCTTTTTTCTACTGAGTTGTTGGATTTTTGACTTATAGGACCACTTTTTATATTAATTAATCCTCTGTTAGCTACATATATTGCGAGTTATCTTCTCCTAGTCTTTCAACTGTGTTTATGGTGGAAATTTTCTTTCAATCTTTTTAGTTTTAGAGAAGGCAGGCTGGCCCTAGCTGGTTCGGCTCAGTGGACAGAGCACCGGCCTGTGGACTGAAGATCAAGGGCACATGCTAGGGCGAGTGCAGGAAGCTGGTGATCAATGATTTTCTCTCATCATTGATGTTTCTCTCTCTCTCCCTCTCCCTTCCTCTCTGAAAACAAACAAACAAACAAACAAAAACAAAAGAAGGTAGACTGATTTTACAGGAAGTAGAGGCAAGATCATATATCTGGAAAGCCTTTAGGATAGAAGTCAGTTGAACATACAGAGAAACTACAAATACCAAGGAACAAAATGTCTGCAAGCCTGAATTTTCCTACCTTGCACTGCACAGTTGCAGCAACTAAAAAAATTTTTTTAAAATATATTTTTATTGATTTCAGAGAGGAAGGGAGAGAGAGAGAGATAGAAACATCAATGATGAGAGGGAATCATTGATGGGCTGCACCGAGCCCACAACCAGGGCATATGCCCTTGACCGGAATCGAACCTGGGATCCTTCAGTTCCCAGGCTGACACTCTATCCACTGAGCCAAACCTGAGCAACTAAAAATTTTTAAAAAGGCTCTACCAACTCTAATTCAATAACCTGTCCAATGGCGCATTATGTTATATTTCCTTCTATAAACATTTTCTCTCCACTTCCAGGCTCCTCAGCCTAAATAGAACTCATTTTTTCTTGCTCGAAGTCAAAATGGAACTCTTGAACAAGTGGCTGGGTTGGGTGTGGGGCTGGGCATGGGGGAGGCTCCAGCAATCCTGAATTAGATGTGATATCCCTTTGGCTCCACCACAATGAAGGCTATCCTTTGGGAAGTGCCTTATTTAAACCTTTAAAAATGATTATAAGATGAACGATGCTTATTATAAATAGGTTAGGGTGGCTACACCTTTTGTGCAGTGAAAGTAGCCAATCCTTAAAGCTTGGTGCATACCCTTTACATGTTCTAATTCAGACCACTAAGATCCCGGGTTGTAATCTACAGCTGTCATTTTTTTCCTATAGTTCTTAATTTGAGGAAGTAGGGGGCGGGGTCACAGATCCCTTTAAAAAGCTGATGGAAAGTTATGGGTTCTCTCCCCAGAGAAATGAACATAAATACTGCCTACTAGGAAGAGCCAGCGCACTCAAGGTCATGTGAGGCCATTGGAAAATGCTGGCCTGGTGAACTCAACCAGCTCATGCTAAATCTCTAGGCACGCCTTTCTCCACTTTGAGCTTGCTGCACTCAGTGTTAGGCCTGCTCTAGGGACTCCAGGATGATTCCTGTCATTGTCATGAGGTGGTTTCATCTGTACCAGTTAGAACTACCCCTCTGCCCCCATCTTTTTTTTTAATGGTGAGGATTTATAAGACGTTCATGAGGTTCCATTCAATAACAGCCTTCCCCTGGCAATCCTGTGTTCCTTTCTCAAAATACGATCAGTCTGTGAAGCAAACCATGCTCTTATGAAGCTGGGCTGCCTATTTTTATCCACCCCATTTTCTGAAATGCCTTGTTGCTACTTCTCTGATTAGTGTTCTAGTCACACAGGAGACACTCAAGGCTCACGGATAAAGACCAATCAAGCCTTTGAAAGACAAACTCAACTCCTTCAATAGTGGAAACGGTTACACTTTACTATGAACATGAGCAGAATAACATCTGTTTAGGAAATTAGTTATGCGACAGCAAAATGCTGAGACTTGGAAAAGATACAAAATTAAAATCCTTAAGCAAGAAAAGATCACCATCAGCTACAATGTCCTTCTTTTTTTTTTTTTTAACTCTTAATTAAGCACTGGAGATGGTGAGTCTAGGGAGAAAGACATACAGGGCTGCCATTGCATAAGCGTGTACAGCTTGTGTGCAATAGGAACACTAGCCCAGGGGGTGAATGGGGCTAAAATTTAGCCCCAGGACGATAGCACCTGCTGAATCTGCCTAAAGGGGCGCCCTTTTCTAATCCTCACAAGGCACCAGAATTTGGCAGTTGGTCCTGAAGACGGCTACCATTCTTTAGTTTAACCTGTTTGTACTGAGTCAAACTGTTCTTCCTTGCGATCTAACCTGGTTTGCAGTTCATGCTATACGCCGGTGTTCATAAACTTTACTGAACATCAGACTCATCTGGAGGGCTTAGTAACACGGATTGCTGGCCTATACCCCAGTGCACCTGATTCTGTAGGTGTAGGGCAGGGCCTGAGAATCTGAATTTCCAACAAGTAACCAGGGGATGCTGATGTAATTGGTCCAGGGACTTCACTTTGAGAACCAGGCTATGAGCTACAGGCCAGAGTTGTTTTTTGTATGTTTGTTTTTACTTTGGACCTTGTCCATGTTTACTGACGACAGCCTCCCTGACTCTGTACAGGCCAAAGAAAAATAAGCAACTTCAGGTACCCCAAACTGAAGGGCTCTCCTGGTAGACGTTTGGCTTCGGTGCCAGGGACACGCCCATTTACCTGAAAGGCCCACAGTCCCCAGCACTACTGTGAATAAGAGGCTCAAAAGACACTCTGTGGGCAGGGCCGTTTCCACCCATTTGACTTGAGGGTCTGCGTCTGTGTAATGAAGGAGCCACTGTTTTGCTGGCGAGCAGCTCAGACGGGGGACGATGCCAGCAGTCACTTACACGAAATGGATGGGGTGGTTCTCAGACCCCTTGCTGGGTGAAAAGGCTGCCTGTTTGGTTAGGGCTAGGATTGTGTATACTGGGGGTAGAGACCTTTTCTAGGGAGTACACGGCACCCTGATGGTCTACATCCATGGACCCACATGCTGCTTTTCTGCACTCAGATACAGAAAAGGCTTTTTGTCAACAGGACCCTGGAGTTCTGTCTCCACCGAGCCCATCTGAAGTAAACAGATAGGTGTTCTCTGTGAGGTCTCTAGAGGACTGGAGGCCTCCAGGTTCCTTCGATGTATTATTCTACCTTTGGGCCCCTGTAAAAGTCTGAGATTTTTCTGGTTTTGGATTAAAAGTATTTTAGTCTTCCTTACCCCAGTCGGTCCTCATCCTCCACCCTCCAGCAGATCACTTACTGGAGGCCCACCCACAAGTTTTCCTCTCTCTATATCGTCTCTACTCAAGCCCTTCCCCGATTGATAGGCTGGCAGTGTTTTGTCCTCTGAACCAGGACCCAGCTGCCCTGTTTGATGCTGAGCTTTCTTAAAAGTCCATGCTGGCATCCGGGCACCAGAGAGACGTCTACTGACGTGCCCAAAGTGGCAGATATTTGGTCCTTCCGGTCCCCTTCACTTGCCAACCTCCTTATCAGTTTGGGCCTGTTATTCTGTGAATATCCTTTTCATATCCCTTGTGTAGGCGGTAAGGAAACCATAAGCCTGGAGGAATCCAAGTTGGGATTTACCAGTTCTTCACCTTTTTTGGGGTCTGTGCTCCCTCTAAGAATCTGAGAAAAGCTCCCCAGAAAAATACAACCGGAAAGATTGGTTTAAAGATCAGGGGAAGTAACCACAGGAGACGTCCCTCCTGCCTCACAAAAGACAACCACAGACAGGTCTCAGGGAGACACAGGACCATGAGCTGAGCCAGCCCACGGGCCACAGGTGGCAGCATCCTGGGGGTTGTGTTAAGTGGTGATCTTGCAAAAGAATCTCTTCTAGGAAGATGCATTTGTTCTTCAGAAGATGCAGAACTGGGAACAATTGCAAAAAATAAAAAGCCCTTCCTTGGCCTACAAAACCATGTTTCTAAAAAAATGTGGCTCAAAAACAGCAAACCACATTACTGACGATCCCTGTCTTTGTCCATTCAGTCCACCCTCTCCTTTCACTTGAAGTTTGATACCTTCTGTTCTGAAGAGGGAACTGGGGGAACAGTGACAGGAAAGCACCAGAATGCAACCGAGCTGACACTCAGAACAGATCCAGTGACTTAGGATAAGGCCAAGGAGAAGGGCACCTCAGTAGATAATCAGATCTAACCCAAGCCACCAAATGGGCGTGTTTGTTTCTATTTAAAGTCAAGGACGCTAGTGTCTGATGACTGTTCCTGGGACTGGAGAGGATTCTCGTGGGTAAAATGACGGTGCAGAGGATCTGGGGAGGGTGCCCCATCCATCATTTACTGGAAATGAGCACAACTTGCTAAACTCTTCCCAAATCATGTTAAAAAAAAAAAAAGAAAAAAAGGAAAAAGGCCAAAACAATAGCCTTAGGATTAAGGGGGCATCTAGGCCTCTGCCCTTGAACTCTTGCTGAATCCTTGTTTTGTGGGAGGGAGCATTTCAAGTGATCTGTGCATCAAAGGACGACGTTCACTTGGTATGACACTTGAGACAGCTTTGATCTTGAAGTCTGGTATAAATTAGGATGAGACTGAAACCCATCCCACAGAGAATTATGGAGTCCTATATGCAAGTCAAGTAAGCAAGCATCAAACATACTGACTGAGGTCCCACTTCCTCAACACCTAAGTACTGTAGTTATTTTAGATCAGGCTTCTATCATTACATTTTTCCTCATTATGTTCGTGAACAGTGCTATTTCCAATACAGGAAGCAGTAGCCCTGCCTTTGTTGATGTCTTTCTAGGTAGCGTTTAAAGCCAGATGGACTGAAATCCCTAGTCAATGTGTAATGAAACTGTCCTACAAGTTATTTCGGGGAAGTTGACTTACCATACCACTCATCAACCCATGCAAAAGCCTGTCGATGTCCAATCAGCAGGATATCTCGGACCACCTAAAAAAGTAAAAGAAGAAGGTTGAAATAATACCATGTTTGATTAAAACTACCTGGAAAATAGATCATTCCCAGTTTTAGGAATCCTGGCATTATAAATGTCTCCATCCCTCTGTCCATATGGGAGGACAATGACAGAGGACATGCACAGGTATTGTACCTGCTCACCCTCAGCCCTTTCCACGGCGGGCATGTCCTTGGTGTAAATTAATGTCCGTCTTACTTGGAAGTCGGGCTGGAGGTGTGTACAAACCAATGAGAATGACTTGGCAGTCACATGGCAATGACCGGAATGAATCTCCAGGCGAATCACCTTGAGATTTCTCTCTTCGTTTACCTTTACCTAAAACAGGCTCTACTTTTCATTTGTAGAGGGTATGTCTCACTGGCGCCAAGAGGTCATACATGTTAGAAATCAAGAGTTTTTCTGGGAAGCCGGTCACTTCTTAATAAAGAGCACTTAACACTCTTCTCTGATGAAATATCTTAAATATTAAAATAATTGAAGCGCCCTAGCCGGTTTGGCTCAGTGGATAGAGCATCGGCCTGCGGACCAAAGGGTCCCTGGTTCAATTTCAGTCAAGGGCACATACCTTGATTGCAGGCTCCTCCCCAGTCTGGGCCCTGGTCAGGGCTCATGCAGGAGGCAACCAATAGATGTGTTTTTCTCAGTCTTTCCCTCTCTCTTCCACTCTCCCTAAAAATCAGTGGAAAGATTAACAAAAAAATAAAATAAGCCGAAACCGGTTTGGCTCAGTGGATAGAGCGTCGGCCTGCGGACTGAAAGGTGCCAGGTTCGATTCCAGTCAAGGGCATGTACCTGAGTTGCGGGCACATCCCCAGTAGGAGATGTGCAGGAGGCAGCTGATCGATGTTTCTCTCTCATCGATGTTTCTAACTCTCTATCTCTCTCCCTTCCTCTCTGTAAAAAATCAATAAAATATATTAAAAAAATAAAAAAATAAAACAAATAAACAAACAAATAATTGAAGGTGTGGGATACAAGATGCATAAATATCTTTCTGGGCTTGACTTTCACGTAATAGGAGTGGTGGGGGGAGCAAGAGTAATAAACTATTAGCGAAAGAAATGGAATAAGACACCTGAAGTAGAACAGAACATAATGGCAATGATAAGCTTGTCTTGTTGCCATTATGTGTCATCATCAGAATGAAACTGTTTCTGATGGTGACACATAATGGCAACAGGAGACAAAGAAAAATAATATAGACACAGTTTGTGTGTGAGTAGCCCTATTTATGTGCTTTTAATTCATGGCATTATTTTTTTGCCCTCCATAAATACTCCTTTTTAAAAAGTTTCTTGGACACTCACGCTCTCCTTCTGACATTCCTTTCTTACTGCCGAACAAATCCAGCAATTGTCTAAAACCTCTCATGGAAGGTTTGAGCATTTTTCAATAAGTAAAGGATTTTAATTTTGGTGAATTTGCAGAAACAAGGGAAGCATTTATCAGAAAGTGTTTATTATTCCAGGCCTCTGGGTAGCTAGTGAGGCTTAAGGAGGAAACGTAATGAAAATAAGAAATTTTCGTGAAGCTGAACATACTTGAGTGCCGAGTGTGTCAAATTCATGGAAATCAAAAGAACAGCATCGAGGCATCAGTAAATAGACCCTATTACATTAAGCACAACACAGCTGTCTGCTTGGAAACAGGAACTCAATAATGTGCTAATAGCTCGCTTTCAAACATTTCTTCCCCTTAACTGTGAAAAGATTCTTAAAAAAAAACAAAGGTGTTCAGAGAAAGGCGCCCATGCAAATGCTGGCCTCAGACACTCATTAGCGACTCATGTGCCAGAGCAGGTGTGTGCTGGGCGTTGGTAGCACTTCATTCCATTTGGAAATGGGCAATGGGAATGCCTACGCCAGAGTGTAATTCTTACAGGTGTTTTAAAGAAGCAGATTCTCAAAACTAGCCCAAGTCATCTGTGAGAAAAGAAACACAATGAGCGCTGTGGTAAAGAAAAGGGGGTAATGCCCTGACCGGTTTGGCTCAGTGGATAGAGCGTTGGCCTGCGGACTGAAGGGTCCCAGGTTCGATTCCGGTCAAGGGCATGTACCTTGGTTGCGGGCACATCCTCAGTAGGGGGCGTGCAGGAGGCAGCTGATCGATGTTTCTCATTGATGTTTCTGACTCTCTATCCCTCTCCCTTCCTCTCTGTAAAAAATCAATAAAATATATTTAAAAAGAAAAGGGAGTGAGGGGACATTGTAGGAAGTCACAGCCTGAGAACGACACAGAGCGGAGGCTGGGAAATATCCACCCTGGGCGCCCTGACTGTCTTCCTGCTTAATAACTGGGACACACAGGAGGCCCCAGAACTTGATTTCTAGGTGTCTTGCTCGGCTCCCTCCTCTGGTTGGGCAGAATGGGTTCTGAGGCTCAGCAGATCGGCACCCTTCTCTGTCTCCAATTTGTTCCAGAGTCTGTGATAATCATGAGCCCAAGGTCAGTCTATTCCTTGGACCTAATTTTAAGATTTACAATTTTTTATGGTCAAGTAGGTCCCCTATTTTACTGTCAATTGTCCCCCGTAGACACATCCATCTAAATAACAGAAAGCTCAGCACATTAAGTTTAAATTCCAACACCTCCAAAAGAATTTCAGAAAGCTTTTTTTTTTTTTTTATCAGTTTTTAAGAGGAAAAACAAACACATACCCAGCCTAGCTGGAATGCAGAGACAACGTGGGTAGTATTTATTTTTAGGGAGATGGAAAGAGTTACAAAGGGCAGTGTTCAACACTACATTTCCTTTTTTTTTTTTTTCCCCACGAAGACAGGGGTCATGTTAGAAACTTCTAAAAAACCTAAATCATTACCAAGGGAATTCCTGCTGCAAAATTAATGAGCTTAGCCAAAGTGGGTATAGAAGTGAAATCTGTATTTTGAGATTGTTCACAATTCTTTGTTGACAGAATTATATGAGCAGAAATTCTGCAGTGCACCATCTAATGGGACTCCCGGGATTTCTTGTTCTGTCTCTTGGGGTGCCTTCTACATTCAGACGGTGCCTCAGGGGTCTACATTTGCAGGACCTTTAGAGTTAGAATTATCCTTGGGGAGTGCACATGCAGATAAGCCCTGTGCCTCTGCCTGCAACCCAAGTACCAAGTATAAGTACCTGTGCTTGGAACTAGATTAGCCCAATGCCAAAGGGAGAAGTATGTGGTGTTTTAAACTTTTTTTTTTTAATTTTTCAATTACAGTTTGCATTCAGCATTATTTTGTACTAGTTTCAGGTGTACAGCATAGTGGTTAGACAATCATAAGCTTTACAAAGTGATCCCCCTGATATTTTCAGTACCCACTTGGCACCATACATAGTTATTACACTACTGTTGCCTACACTCCCCATGCTGTACTTTACATCCCCATGACTATTTTGTTAACTACCAACTTGTACTTCTTAATCCCTTTCACCCAGCCCTACCAACCCTCCTGATCTCTGTGTCTCTAAGTCTGTTTCTATTTTGTTCATTTATTTTGTTCTTTAGATTCCACATATGAATGAAACCATATGGTATTTGTCTTTCTCTGTCTGGCTTATTTTGTTTAGCGCCATACCCTCTAGGTCCATCCATGCTGTCGCAAATGTAAGAGTTCATTCTTTTTTATGGCTGAGAAATATTCCACTGTTTATGTAGGTACCACAGCTTTTTTATCCACTTGTCTATTGATGGGCACTTGCGTTGCTTCCATATAGGGTAAGTGTTTTGAACATCCACCTTCCTGAATACACTCACACAACAGACATGGAGGTACAGGATAGGAGATGGTGTAAAACATCTATTAGTGGAAGAAAATGAAACCTGAATGTAAAATGCCTGTTCATGAAAACAGGGTTGCCTAGATGCAGTTACCTGGTGTTGGCTTAGCGCCTGTGCATCTGTCGTACATCACTCACTCCAGCTTACCGTAAAGACAGGTACGTGTTCCGAGGCTCAGGACCTGCTCTTTGTTCACTTACCTTGTGTACAAACTGTTCCACTCTGGTCTGGAGCCCCCAGACCTCAAACTTCACAGTCACCAGCTTGTAGGAACACATGATGGGCTGATGACTATCTCTCCAGCCTTCCCGTAACTGTCCCCTTCCTGTCTTCTCTGACTTGAAGTGTTTAGGATCCTGGAAAAAATATACCAAAGAAATGATAACTTAGAAGTGAAGCTAAGTAAAAGAAGCCTTTCACCAAAGGCCACACTGTAGAATTCCATTTATATGAAATATCCAGAATAGGCAAATCTATGGAGAAAGAAAGTAGACTAGTGGCTAGGGGATGGGTATAGTACAGGGAATGGCTGCTATGGAGACAGAGTTTCTTTCGGGGGTGATAAAAATGTTCTAAAATTAGATTTAAGGGGATGGCTCAAAACTCTGTGAGTGTGCTAAAAACCATTGAACTGAACACTTTAAATGGTGAACTCTCTGGTGTGTAAATTATCTATATATATAAAAGCCTAAGTGACCATTATGACGGAAGGACCGGTTGCTATGACACGCACT